CACAACCGCCCCTAGGGCAAAATATCAACAGAACCAGCCCCTCGGGCTAGCTCACAATCACTCGTAATCAGCCTCTCGGGCAATAACATGAAACAACAACAGCCCCTTGGGAAATATCACATCTCACACTGGGTACCTGCGCTCACTGGGGGTGTTCAGACTCCGGAGGGGCTCCTACAGCCCAAGCGCTATCACAAGCCATCTCGTGGCATAACAATTCAAGCCCTCGGCCTTTCATATATCACAATCAGTACACATGCTACGACGCGCAACCCGATCCCATGATATCCTCACAATACAGGCCCTCGGCCTCACTCAGTCAGAAATCTCTCAAGCCCCTCGAGCAACAGTAAAACATGATGCTCAACCCAAAATATCATTTAGAAATATCAAAACAGAGTAAATACGGCTGAGTTATGAAAACAATAGAATACAACATGACTGAGTACAAATATGAATTCAAAAATAGTGAGGAATAGTAGTAAAAAGCTCCTAAGGGTCCAAAACAGTTGGCACGAGGCCCAAATATGGCATTCGGTCCAAAACATGGTAATAATTTCCAAAACACAATGATATCAAATAGGTTTTAATCAAATACGCAACTTAACAGTCGTACGGGACGGACCAAGTCATAATCCCCAATGGTGCACGACCCTCCGCTCGTCATCTACCTTGTGCGTCACCTCAAAGTAGCACAACAATGTGAAATCCAGGGTTTGATACCCTTAGGACAATATCTACAATCATTACTTACCTCAATCCGGTCCAAACTCTAGCCCGTGATGCCTTTGCCTCTCGACTCGATCTCTGGATGCTCCAAATCTAACCAAAAAACAGATTCATACCATCACAATATGCTAAGGGAACAAAGCTCACTCGAAAATAACCAATTTACATAAAAAATCCCGAAATTGGCCAAACCCGACCCCCGGGACAACGTATCGAATTCCGATAAAAATCACAAAACTAGAATCCTTACACTCTCACGAGTTCATCCATATCAAATACATCAAAATCTGACCATAAACGACCCCTCAAATCCTAAATCAAAGTCTCCAATTTCAAGCCCTAACTCCCCAATTTTAGGCTTTAAATCCTATAAATTTCATGTCTAATTAAGTAGAAATCACAATAGAACCGAGTATTGAGTCCAAAAATCTTACCTCCAAGTGTTTCCCTTCAATTCCCTTTTCAATCCTTCTCAAAAGCTCCAAAATCTCCCAATAATGGTGAAAGATAGACCAAAAATCGCGAACATGGCTATTTAAACATTCTGCCCAGGTGACATTTCCTTCTTCGCGAACGCGGTCAAAGCCTTGCGTTCGCGAAGCAAAAAAACTCATTGACCAAATAATTCTCTTATGCGAACGCGACCTCCATCTTGCAAACGCGAAGCTTCAACTTCCAGACCTTCACGAACGCGAAGAACAAACGACCAGGCCCCCCAGCTGCTCCAATTAGTCTATGCAAATACGGGACCCACATCGCATTCTCGATGCACATTCAGCCTCAACCTTCGCGAAAGCGGGACCAACATCGTGAATACGAAGGGTAACTGGCCAGCCTCACTCAACATCTCTTCGCGAATGCGAAGAGCAAAACTCTACAACAGAACTGAAGAAAAATCTGCAACTTCTAAAACAAGGATTTGATCCGCTTAACCACCCGAAACTCACCCGAGGCCATCGGGACCTCAACCAACTGTGCCAACACATCCCATAACATCATTCAAACTTGTTCCAACCTTCGGAACGCTCAAAACAATATTAAAACATCAAATCATCATCGGATTCAAGCCTAAGAATTCCAAAAACTTCCGAATTCCGAATTCGATAAAAAAATCTATCAAACCTCGTCCGAATGACCTGAAATTTTGCACACACGACCCAAATGACACAACATACCTACTTCAATTTTTGGAATTTCATTCCAACCCCGATATCAAAATCTCCACTATCAACCGGAAAATGCCAAAATTCCAATTTTGCCAATTCAAGCCTAAATCTACCCCGGGCCTCCAAAACCCATTCCGATCATGCTTCTAAGTCCTAAATCACCTCCCGAAGCTATCCAAATCATAAAAACCAAATTCCAAGATCGTTTACCCACAAGTCAACTTTCGATTGACTTTTCCAACTAAAAGGCCAACTTAAGAGACTAAGTGTCTCATTTTTCTACAAAACCACTCCGAACCCAAACTAACCAACACGATGCAATGAAATACATCTGAACAACATATAAAGAAGCAGAAATGAGGGAAACAGAGTGGTAATTGATGAAACGACCGGCCGAGTCATTATAGTAAAGATGAAGGAATGAAGAATTCGATGATATTCTCCTCCGAAAATTGTCCAAAACGTCTTCTCCCTTCTAAAAATAGTCTCCCTAGGTCTCAGCTGTGTCCAAAGTCCTCAAAATAGCACTTTTATATGTATTTATACCAAGTAGGGTCGGGCCTAGATGAAACACCCTTTACTGCACGAAATAGGACTTGACTCTGTAAAATTTGTACAGGCGTGCCGCATGGGGCGACACGCCATGCGATGTGCTTTTAGGGAAGTTCAGAGAGCTGATTCTAATAGACTGCAGGAAAATTCCAAAGGCGCGGTGTACTCTGCGGCCGCACTGTGCGGCACGCTTGTGAAGTTTATCAGTAGGATTTTCAGGTCACTTATTTTGCACTGCTGCGCCCCATGCAGTGCAACAGTGTAATTTTCTCAGAGTGAAATTATTTCATCCTCTTTTGACATCCAGACTTGGTACACAACTTCCGAACACGATCCCGGCTTAATGTATTGTGCTTTTACTCAGACTTTAAAGCTTCAGGTTGATCGATCTAGCTCCAAATTAACTTTTGAACTCGGGATTACTTCCTGCAAGGCATAAAAACACGTACTAAGTATAATTCACTATCATTTGAGCTCAAGCACACGTAAAAATGCAGTAATTAGAATGTAATACTACGGCTAAAACATGAGTTTCTAGCCTAACATCAGTGACATAGTCGATTAATCATATAAACAACTTCTGTTTGCTTAGAGCATACAAAAAACTTGATATTTGACGAGGAATTTCGTAATTAAAATGTAAATTCTCTATATCTCTAGCTCTTCTTTTTTAAAGTTACATGAATATTTTGTTAATACTTTTCTTTCATTTTCCTCAAATTCAGGGATTGCTTCAATAAGTTTATATGATGAGGTTTTCTAATTTAGGATTAACATCATTTTCCGATTTCATCATTATACTCCATAAAATTTTTAAAATTTCTTAAATTTTATAGTGGTCAATTTTTTGTATATATTTAAAATTGATCTTTTCCTATACTGAAGAGTAGTTTAAATATTAATAATATACTAAAGTAATTCAAACAGATCATTGGCCACTCAAAGTAATATTTGCTTTTGAAAAATATTATTATTGACCACCTAAAGCTTTTTTAGTTCCTTATTTATTAAGCAAAAGAAAAACTAATTTTGTCATATTACATGCATGTCAAAAATCTAAATTCTAGTTGATATGGAAGGGTAAATGAGCTATCTAGGGTTATGGAATGGAGATTATAGTTAATAGTTTTTTTAGTTTTTACTTTTTTTTTTAAATATTTAATAGTTAATTAATTTGAATTTAGTTAATTTTTGGCCCACGAGCCAGCCCAAGCCCAGCCTCGGTCAAGCCTCAAGGGCTGGCGGGCTGACTTGGACCGGGCTTATGAGCCTTAGTTTTAAATGAGCTCAAAAAATCCTAACCCAACCTAACTCAAGTAGCGGGCTGGGTTGGACTGGCCTCACGGGCCAAACCCATTTTAATGACTCTAAGTACAAATATGTTTGAAACATACATTTCAAAAGCTTTTGTTTTTTTTTAAAACTTTGTATAAGAGTCAAACTAGGTAAATTGAAATTGAGGGAACACTATTTGCAATATATTTGTAAAACTTGGTTCTTTAGGGGCCGTTTAGTTGGCCCTTTAAAAGAGTTAATCTATGTATAACTATGTAAATCCAATATAACTTATTACAATGTTTGGTTGGTGTTTGAATTTTCGTATAAAATCTTGTACAACTTATATAATATTTAGTTGGTATTTTGATCTCCTTGTAAAATCTTGCGCAGCTTGTATAATGTTTGGTTAGAGTTTACTCCTCCTTATACATAATACCAGCTAAAAGTTATTCGATTTGGTCGAATCCATATTGAACAGGGTTGTTCCGCTCATATTCCTACGTAACTAATACCTACATAAGCTCTTAATTGGTGTATTTATACACGCAATAGACTTGCCTTCTGAATCTCGATAGTTAGCCTCAAATTTCAAATGGAAAATGGTTTGATGAACTTGGTATCAACTTTTGAAGATCTATTTTATTTTATAATACTCAAGTTTGTGAAAATACATTTAACTATATTCTTTTAACTAATTAACTGATATTCAATACAATCCTGCTGGCACGAGCCATCACCACTATAACTAGCTAGTTAGATAATAAATTTACTAAAGTTATAATTTATCACTTGAACTGGTCTTGTAAATTAGGTATCGTCTGCTCTATTTCAAGGAATATTAAAATTACGTACTCTGTCTAGTGTTCGCGTAGTTTATCGGGAATATACACAATATAGTTGTCCCCGTATAATATAATTTTTTTGTATATTAATGGTAATAAAATGTCAACTTTGAGTATAATCATCAAACAATTATTGGTCAACTTGTAAACATAAAGTTTGCATACTTTCAAAACAATAATGAGACAATTCAATACTACAAACTCTCATAGGAATAATGTAAAGGATTTTGCTTTATTTTAAAAAAAAATCTTAAGTATAAAAAGTACACGAGAGGTACGTGTTACTTATATATGTCTTGAATTTCTTTTACCTTAAAACTATTAAAGATCTTAAAATAATTATTGGTGTTTTCATTTTCATTTTTTAAAATATAAAGATAAGACTTATTTATTTGTTTACCGAGTGGGAAAAGGAAAAAGAAAAAACAGTGAATACAACAAAATTGATCTTCTTATTGATTTGTGTACAAAGTACACCAAGGTATTACAAGAAAACAGCTTGCAATAATTAATTGGAAATGAATAAAACGAGGGCATCCTCAATACAACAATAAATTACTAAAAAACAAACTCTATTTATGAAGAATCAAAGTTATTTTAGCCTTGTCCACGTGAATACACTAGAGAACAATGTGCAATAAGAATCAATCCTTCAATTGAAAGGTTGAATATCTTATTCCATAAATTAGTTGCTTTGTATCATTTGACGCTTGAATCTTTTTCTCAAGAAGCTAGCTTTTATATTTTAGTGCTTCAAACTAAAATCTGAAAAGAAACAATGAAATAGAAGATCAGAACTTAATTCAAAGAAAAGAAAAATAAAAAGTTGATTTCATATGGCAAAAAAGAATACACAACTCAAACAGCAACTCACTTGATTGATTGTGGAGAATGGCTGAGCTCTTAGAAACACTTAGTGGTGGATTGGAGGTGGCGGAGACGCATAAATGTATACTGGTGGAGGAGGTGATTTCACGAGTAGAGGAGGTGAGCTGTAGTAATAAGCAGGAGGAGGAGACTTTACTGGAGGAGGTGGAGAGTGGTAATAGTATGGAGGTGGAGGAGAAGGCGACGGTGGAGGAGGAGACTTGTAG